CTCCTCTCTGCAGTGTACTTCATCTGTCTGCTTGTTCTGCTCCTCGCTCTGTGTGTGGTGAATCCTCTCACCATTCCTGCACCTCTGGCCTGTACCCCAGTTCTGTATCCATAAATAAAGAAATCTTTAAAAAAAATCCCCCTCTTTAGGTATCAAAATTAAAGGAATTATAAGAATTTTATCACTAGGTGAAAGGGGCTAAGTACTAGATTTGCATATAGAGAAAAAAAACAAGATAGTCCTGTCTTTTTAAGTTTAATGTAGTTTACTAGGAAGCTTATATTTTTACTCAACAGCTGCATACATTAGTACCTAAGATTTCCCTTTAGCCACTCCTTTTATTTTTGAGTAAATAGCTTGGGCTCTGGAGTTAGTTACTGTTTCCAGTAGAGTGAAGTGAGGCTGTTCCAGAAACTACTGATTCTGACCCTTGAATAGTACCCAAGTATAGTTCTTCTCCTGTTTGGGCAATATAAGGCAGAAACTCCTAAGACTAAGAGTTTGGCATTGGAGTCCACCAAGAACCTATTTCCATTGCTCTTTCAATCTAAAATAATTTCCTTAAGCCCTGGATGATATCTAAAACTGATTGAATTTGTGTTGGAAATTAGCATGCTATTTTGAACATTCAGGAAAATGTATGCATGAATGTTGCTTATATTAGAATATAACATTTTGTGGTGGTATCCCCTTATCCCAAAGAATATCCTAAAGGGGAAAAACAATGTTGGAAGATAACTTTTGTCTAAGTCAGTAGCATCTATAGTTCTCTCTCTTTTTTTATTCTTAAATTCTGTCTTTGTTAACAGATCAGAAAGAAAGTATACTTTGAAATTAAAGCTTTACCCCAGAACACTTTTGAAATGGGAAACAGTAATTCTTACTATTTTGTCACAATATCTGTATTAAAGTTGGAAACAAGTTTGGAATTTTTTCTGTACTGAAGGGTGAATGGATGTCCTTCTAAGACTTTAAGATTTGGGATTTAGGGTCACTAATCTTCAGTTGGCTATGCATGCATGACCACTATTTACTCCAAAACACAGTATGTCTTAAGAGGGCTGAAACTTTGTCAAAGTGCTGACCAACTAGCCAGAGCAAACTGACTGTTCTCACGTTGATAGGAAGAATGGGGCGGGGCTTTGGTTCTTGCCCAATTCAACTGAATCTTGCTCTTTAGGTAGCAGGCTTTTTAAAAATTATTTATCTGTACATAGAAGAACTGGGGTGTAGGCCATAGAATTGGAGGGGTGAGAGGATTCAGTGGAGACAGTGGGGAGCAGAACAGGTAGATCTACTGAAATACACTGATAAGGGGAGCAGCAGGCTAAGATCTGGTGTGCCATATGTGGGTTGCTTCCTGGCATGGGATCTAAGTCAGGCCTTTGTGGTGATAGCACTGAGACTGAACCCCTGTGCCACTAGGGAGGTCCTGGTAGCAGGCTTTTTGTTGCCTAGAGTAATTGTGGATTGTCCTTTGAACAATTTCAGAAGAAGAAGCATACAGGAGGAATGAGTATATTTGAACTTGAAGTAGAACTAAAATTGACAGAACAATGTTTAAAAAAAGCTTTATTGGAATTGTCAGTTTTTATTTTTGTAAAAACATTAATGAAACCATGAATGCATCTCGTTTATGATTTGTGTATTCTGAAAAATTCAGTGACAAATTTGTTCCTTGGAACATTTTCCATACAACATTATTAAAGGTGATTAAGTATGGTCATCCATCTGTTTATTCCATAATATTGGTATAACAATGACTTTTATTACAAATAGTAGCTAATAGTACTATAAAGTTGGCTTCAGAGGATATGTGCACATACACATGTGATACAGATGATTTGTTGGAGGGTGAAAAAAAGAACATAAAGCCAAGAATTATACAATATTAAAAAAAAAAAGACTTGTCACATATGCCTTGCTCCCATGAATATTTGGCACTTAACTTCTAGCAAGTGTCAAATTACATGTTTTAGTATTCAGTAGTAACTCCATTCATCTAGCAGATGTTTAATTAACATTTGTAAGTGTATCATTGAAAACCATTGAAAGATTCATTTAAAAATCACTTTATTAAAAAATAGATGTATATGAATATTTAGATTTTTCTATATATGTATATACCTTTAATTCCAGTATTTATGAAAGGTAAAGAGTATTTGATCATGCTTATTGGGGTAGATAGGTGGTTGTCAGCAGGAATTTCTAAAGAAAGTCTGTTTATTCTGTACCTTGGTCTCTTTTTATATATGTAGGGACAGGAAAGTAAGTAAAAGCTAAAAGAGTAACAGCTATTAATGATCTCCTGGAGCCTGATCTCCCCTTCAACAACTCTCTTCCTTTTTTACTGAGATTCTTGAAAACTTAAGCTCCTCTCACCAGCTCACATAGTCCCTGCGAGTAGTTTCCTCCCCCAGTGTATGCATGACACTACTCTCTGAGCATTGGTCTTGGCCTCAGCTAAAAGTCATATCATTTTTATGTTTTCCATGTTTAGGAGTATTTAAAATTTTGATCATCAGGTTTTGTGATAGTGGTTCTTCTAGTTCCTTCCTATAACAGTTTAGCATTCCGCTTCTGCTTTGTATGTTACTTACAATTTTTTATTTTCTGTCTTTCCTCCATCGTTCAAGCTTCATGAGGTAAAATATGATTCTTGTCTTGTTCATAACTCTGTATTTAATACATGACCTGATATGTATTGCTGAATTAAAAAAACAAGTTAGTTTTTCCCATCAACTGTTAATAAGTGTTTTAACCCTGTTCTTTTTTGCTTTTTTTTGATTTGATTACTTGCTCTTACTTTTGCTACTTCATTGTTATTTCATGTATGGGGCATACAGTAGCCATCATTTTTGGTTTGACTAGCATCACTTCAGCTCCCCTCCTTTTCTTTGCTCCACATTTATTATGAGAAAGTATTCACAATTTATTTCTAACTGGAGATTACCAAATGGCCTATTAGGTACTGAAATAGAGTTAGCAGAGCCATCATTGATATTTACCTATATCCTTTTGCTTATTTTTCTGTTCTTATTGATCTGTAACTTAAATACTTAACATTTTTTTCTTTCTTCAGCTTCTGTTCCTCTATCCTTGCTACAGTCAAAGCAATTAGCTTCAGTTAGTGGTTGATCAGGTAATGATTTTCTCTTGTCTTATAAAGAATAAAATTTAGGAATTGGTCATCCCTTTTTCCTTTCCCTTTTTCCCACCTGTGATGTCAGGAAGCTGAGGTCAGCTCAGAATCAAGAAAATCATTCCATGTTTAGAATTATCAAATATGAAATTAAACTGTTGACTGTCCTTTGACTGGTAGGAGTATGGAAGGAAAGAGCAGGGTTTGATGTTGCTCAGCACTCCAGTCTTTGCATTATCGTTTTTACTACTTATGTTTTCCACAATCTGGCCCAAGACCAATGTTTGATAATTAAGAACATATTTTATTTATTCCTTCCCCCAGGTACTTTGTATGTACTAGGTGCTGAACATATATTCAATGAATGAGTATCATGTGAGCATTTTCTTGGATAAGAGAGCTGAGGTTCCTTGTTTTTCATGCTTAGTTTTGTGATGTGGAAGAATCAGGTCTGGATTCAGAGGACTGAATCAAGCCTAGGGCCTTCACATATGTGATGTTGTGCTATTTCATCTTTGAACCTGCTTTTCATCTGTACAATTAGAGTAATGGTTATTGTAAAATAAGTGATGAGGACTAAATGCATATGAAAAATGTTACAATCTAAAAATGCTTTATAATGGTAGAGTTATTCAGAACTGAGAACTTTGATTATATTAATATTAATGTTGTTTTTATTAGGTATTATACATTATTTGGTATAGTTTTTTAAAAATTCATTTATGCATACAAGAACTGGAGTACTGGCCAGAGGTGTGGGGGATGAGAGTATTCACCAGAGACAGAGTGGGGAGCAGAACATGCGGATTGATGAAATACACTGCTGAGGAGAGCAGTGGGCGAGACAGGAGAGGTCAGCTGAGCCATGTGGGTCACCTGCCTGGCTGGGGATCAAACTTGTGCGGCAATGACTGTGGATAGCTTCATAGTGGTGTACTTTAACCCACTGCTCCACTAAAGAAGCCTGTAGTATAGATTGTTAAATGCATCTCTGCTATTATTCTTTCACTTCTTCATAGTTAGGCTCACTTTTTTAGCCTCGTAAAGAAAATGAATACAGTTGCTTTTTCTCTTATAAACACATTTTTCTGTACCCAAGACAAAATTTCTCTTATGTTGTTGAATTCTTGATGTTTTATTGCCCAACTACCAGTGTGTGTGGAATTCTCATTAAGGTTTTTGGTCAGCCATAGACAAATTTGAAAAGTACCACTTGCTAAATAAAGTAAGTTTTTCTCAAAGTGACCACATTTGGTAGAATTTCCCCAAACTTTGTAATCTTAAATCTTTTGATGCTTTCTCTGTTATCCAACCAGGGTCACAAATATCAATGAACAATTAGCAAAATGATTTTAATGATAATGTTAAATATTAAAGGGGTTTTATTTCTTTATTTTGGTTTTTCATACACTCATATTTCTCTATACATGTTCATATTATATATCTCATAGTTATAATTTTATATTACATAAAAGTTCTACTGTTGTGAATATTATGGATGTTTTTTCTTAGATTATGTGTGAAATTAGACACATTGTTTTTCCATGGTGCTTCATAACTAGCTTTCATTGAGTTTAAGATGAGTTGGCTTGTGATTCACAACTTTGTGAAGTACTGTCTAGTCAGAAGATTAACTTTTAAGAAAGCACAGTTCTTAAGAATGAGGAGAAGTATCTCAAGGTCAGGATTGTTTTCAAAAATAATTAACATCAGCTTTTTGTAAGATGGGAACTCTGCTTTGGAAAAGAAGTTTGTTGGCATTTATAATTTGCTCTTAATAATCTCTGTTCCTTCTTTCCCTTTAACCAGGTCAGTTTATTTATTTTATTTTTCTGCCCTATTCTTTTGTCACAAAAAGAAGAGATTCTGCAGTGAATGAAGATCCCTCTGAATTTTAGCACTGCTTTTTCTACTGTAGTTGGCCTTTGAATGAGGATGACAATGGAAGAGATGAAGAATGAAGCTGAGACCACTTCCATGGTTTCTATGCCCCTCTATGCAGTCATGTATCCTGTGTTTAATGAGGTAAGTGGGTAAACATATTTTCATATCACCTCTACATTTCTGTAATGTTTGCTTCACCTATTCATTCAGTTTTTTGTTCATTCATATAACAGATACTTATATTCAACTTCGTCAGTATCTACTAAATTGTGCCAGCACAGAATTGGGGAGAAAATACATTTCTTCCTCTTCCCAACCCCGGTTTTGTGCAAGTGGAAGAGATAGATATTAGACAATAGAATACACGTAGAATACATGTAATTTTGTAGTTGAAAATTTGTGAAAAGTGCTATGAAGTTTTTTTTTTAAACAGTGTGTTAAATAAAATAGAGGGTAGTTTTTATTAAGCGCCTGGACAGATCTCATGAAGGAAAGATGTACTAAGCTAAGATTCTAATGAAGGAAATAAGTACAGATGGTAAAAGAGGTAGGGGTAAGCAGTATTCTAGATAGCAGAAAGAACAGGCAAAAAAATACAATATTATGGTCAGCAGAGATAGAACATTTTAACTGATATATTGAAAGATACCATTGCTTTGTATATGGAAAAGAAGCAGTTGCTTTTATTTTAAAAATTTTCTCAGACTTAATATCAACACATTCTTGACTTCTTTTGAATTACTATGCTAAGTTGTATAAAGAATTCTAGAGTTCGTTTTTGCTTACAGATAATTAGTCCTCTGTTAATGGTGAATTGAAGCTATAAATGTGAAGTTGTCTAAGTTTAAAATCTCAATTCAATAAAATAAAAATTCAGTAGCTTCAAACATTTTTCTATTTAGGTTTTCTTTCCTTTCCCCCCATTAATCTATAAATGTTATTGCCATTAACCTTGTTCCTGCTATAGCTCGAAAGCCCTTACCATTTCCAATAATTTTTTTGTAATCCCTTTGTTAACATACTAGAGTAAGATTCTGGGTTTCAGAATCTTTCCTTCCACCTTACTGGGTTTAATAATAATCTATATAATGCATATTTTATTTTATGATTTATAGCAAGTCTTGGGGACAATGGAGAATGATACATATATCCTTTTCAGCTTGTAAATCACACATATCGATAGTTACTATTTCAGATACACATTTTGGAATTTTACATGCTGTTAGATTCCATGACCATAAAATATAACTTAAAACAGTGACTTGTGTATAAGTTTATTTTTCTTGGCATTAAAAAAAAAAATTGCAGGTACATAGCTACTGTTACTATGACTCAATATTACTAGGAACTCAGATTCCCTATCTTCTGTTTCATCTGCTAGTGTGTAATTTCCATTATAAAGTACACTCTAACAGCATGGTGGCTGCTAAACTCTATCCAACATGTTCTAAGTTGTTTCCTAGAGGT